CTCTCTCTCTCCCCCTAACACACAAACACTCCACAGTTTCAAGCCGACAACGAAATGACAGCAACAGACATAAATAACAAAGCAGAACTACCTCACCTTCAGTCATCGTGGTGCTGTTGTCCAAAAGCCCAAGCCACAGCGTGCAACCTTCAGGATGCAGAGACCAACCTCCAGCAGGTAAAAGAGCTTAGCTACAACAAGAAGTGCCAGCGCAGCTTTGCCCACGTCAGGAAGGATACTGGGCGAAGTCAAATAAGCGGGGCTGTACGATCGCGACGAGCATGTGAAATTGTGAATTCTTTAAGCAAGAAAGCGCAAGATATTAAGGCAGGCAAAAAGCAGGGCAATGGATCATCACACCCACAATTGGCAGAGAGGGAAATTCCAATTGTGGCTGGGAATTGTAATGACAAAAGTGTTGCACAAAATACAAAATAATAATATCAAAATTGTTTATGCTGTGTTCGAACATAACAAAAGTTTGTAGTATTCAGAGGGGGGGAGGAGGGGGGGGGGGGGGGGGGGGGGGGGGGGGGGGAGGCCTAAGCGTAACATTAAAAAAAAAATTGGCGTGTTTCTTTTAAAAGGAAATCGCCAACTGATGGATTCCATCACCTGTTGTAGCAACAAAAAACTGTTGTACAGGCAAAATAATACAATGTATGGGGACGCAAAAGAGTACAATGTACATCCGTCGTCTCCGAACTTGAAAAAGGTGTTCATGTTGCTCAACTCTGGTTGAATCAGTGCTGCAGTTGATTTGCGAATTCCACTTGGCTTGATTGAAGTACCTGTAGTCCTCTCTATATAGCCTTAGGAGGATTAGCGGTAGGTAGGTAGGTAGTGAAAGGGAGAAAGAATTTGGGAGAAGACTATAGCGTAGTTTTATATTTGGAAAAAGAAAAAGAAAAAAAAAAGTTGCTGTAGTCTGACGCTTCAGAAGTGGAGACGCTAGAGGCTATAAATAGTCGGTACCGCGTTTTGTTTGTCCTCGCATCATGGCATGGCGCATCCGAGCGTTGTCCCGGCAGGAAAGTGGAGACGACATACAGACTGAGTTTTTCGCGTGGAAGACACAGGGGGAGTACGTCCACAGGGTCTCTTTGATTGACAGTTCGACATCTCTAATTTGTTACATCTGTATTTCGGACTTCACTAATTTTTGTTCTATCTTGATCTTTGATTACTCTGTTGTTGGTATCTCACCTCCCCTCTACAGCTTCGAAGATCAAGAACTGTTTGTGCTCAGCATCATAGTGCTGAGCGATGTCGGAGACAGCTGCAGACTTGTATTCCTCGTCGACGGTTGCATTTCGCTTCCCCTCGTGATAACGAAAAGACACCGGAGATTGCATTTCCCTTCCTCTCTTGTCAGTCGCGAACGAAGGCCGGAGCGATTTTAACGATGAAAAGGCCGGAACCATGGCAGAGAAATGGATCGGAGTGAAGCACCAAAGCCCGAACGATTTTAACGATGAAAAGGCTGGAGCAATGGCCGGAACGGAGGCAGAGCAATGGATCGGAGCGAAGCATCGACGGCCGGAACGATTTTATCGATGAAAAGTAGCGTCGAGAGTTTTCCTTGTTTTTTCAACTGTGATGAAAAAGTTTTTTGTCGGCTCATTTCAAATTTACTGCGATCTTTTAAGCCTCCTGACGAGTCGGTGAAACTATGACGAAACAGTTTGTCACAGCCCCTCGTTTGTTGTCCTCTTCTCCCTTTTGTCCCTCTCTGCCTGCTGTTTACCGTCGGCAGCTCTGTTTGACGATAGACGGGTCAGGTACAAATTGCCGCCTCCGATGCAATTATTCGACGCGGGTTGTGCCCATTTCCCACTGGAGGCTACGGTGCAAGCATGTAACGGGGCCTCTACACAACGCTCTGTGTAACTGCAACTCTTTTTTTTTTTGTTTAACCCCAGCCGAGCAAGAGGTCCACGGCCCCCCTGGTGGCCTAGTTGCTCACTTTTTTTTTTTTTTTTTGCAATTTTCTTT